CAGCGGACGCTGGGCAATTACGGAGCCCACAGGGGACTGTCATCTCGATGGCCACATTTAAAACGTTCAAGATATTCCTCAAAGCTAATTCTTTGGCCTCTTGTAGAGACCAGCCCTCTTCCTCCTGTCTTTTATCAAGAGCTCAGAGGATTAAATGGCACAGTGAGGCTCTAATGCGGGAGCACAAGTGGCCTCGACGGTGGGCACGCCCGCCACCGTAGCTGGTGGAAGCAGGATGGTGGCCCGTGCCCTGAAACTATTCCCAGAAACCAGTTATTCTTTCGGCACTTCTCCAATTCTACTCAGTTTCCAGGGTGATTTCTGGCTCCCGTCGCACTGAGAAATTTGCCTCAGGTCTCAATGTCTCTGCCTTGGCTACCACGAAGTCCACCTTTACACAGTCTCCTCTCTCAGAAGCCACTGGTGGCGGCAGGGCCATGAGAAAACGCACGTGTCCTCGGCACAGATGACTTGCTGCCGTGGGGGAAACGGCAGGGGCGGTTGGGGAGCGGAAGCTGTGCAAGGCTCGCCCGAGCTTTTCTGGGGTGGGATGTGCGGTGGCTGAGAACACGGACATTTGGTTTTGTGAGAAGGTGAAGCTTGAGAAAGGCTCAGAAGCTCTGAAATTTGTGACAATGTTAAGCTTATGAAGGGCTCACAAACTCAGTTGTGGGAGAGGAGCAAGGGAAGGATAACCTGAGGTACTGCTGCTGGTGAGTGAGGGTCTTCCCAGGGGGAAGCCAGGGGTCCTGAGTCATCCGAATGCAGGACCTGAAATGCGTTTTTGCCTTCAAGGGTATGCGTTTTTAAAAAAGATTTGTTTCTCTTTTTGAAAGAGAGTGTGAGACGGCTCATGAGGGAGGAGCAGAGCGAGAGCAGAGGGAGAAAGAATTTCAAGCAGACTCCTTGCTGAGCACAGAGCCTGACACGGGGCTCGAGCTCCCAACCCTGAGATCATGACCTGAGCTGAAATCAAGAGTCGGACACTCAACCAACTGAGCCACCCAGGTGCCCCTTCAAGGGCAGGCATTTTAAAATCACCAAATAGCATATCTATAAATTGATAACTGTACCTGGCACGAACACGATTAGCAATTTATGAAATCATGGGGGGGGGGCGGCGGTGGGTGTTGTTTGCAGTTGGGAAGCTGACAGGTCCGACCAGGAGGAGGAGGTGATGACAGCAATGTGACTGGCTTTCCAAGGTGGCCCTGTCAATCCGAGTGCAGGCACCCACTAGGTGGTGTTCAGGGAAGTGTGCTCAGCTCAGGGAGGGATGCTTCCGGCAGAATGTGGGCATGCTGAGCTGAAGCTTTGATTTGTATTGAGGGGAGGGGTAATCTACTCACCTCATCTTAGAATATGTACAAAATAATTAAGAAAGAGACAATAAAAGATAAATAGGATTGTCATTAAACAAAACCAGATCGGTTCAGATACATGCAACTTGTGGTGGACGTCATTAAGGAGCTGGTGGAATTGTGAACAATTCCAAGAAAACAGACTTTTTCTATGCAGCCTCCACCCCTTTACCCAAATCTGACAAAGCATATCAAAAAAGGGAGGGCTTGGGGTGCCTGGCTGGCTCAGTGGATACAGCATGCAACTCATGATCTCCGGGATGTAGGTTCCAGCCCCACGCTGGGTATAGAGATTACTTAAAAAAATAAAATCTTAAAAAAAAAGTGTGGGGGGGAGGGTTTAACAGACTCCTGGAACATTCCAGCTAACTCATTCCTTCCCACATCCAAGAGCCTTACCTGTTTGCTTTCTTATTTCACTCTAAAAATGACTGTGCCTAAGAGTTTTTAAAACAATGTTTGACACTCCATGGTGTTACTGGGCACCAAGAAGATATAGCAAGAAAATGTACAGAGGTTCTGCTATACTTTATTCCATATCATGTTACAAGAAAACAACAGTGACAGCTGACAAACCATTACATCTTTCATAATACAGACAAATTACACTTGGTAACAAATATGCAACATGTATTATTCCATTCTCCTTACTATGTTTCATTTTGGAGTATAATAGTTTTCTGAATGATGCTAACACATTTCTTAGGTACCGACCCTCTGCTAGAAAGTACACATCTCAGTGTATCATACCAAAAAAAAAAAAAAAAAAAAAAAAAAAAAAAAAAAACCACTCCCAACTAGAGAATGTAGATTTTGTATGTGCCTCTAAAATATGCTGCTGTAGGAAGGGGAATGAAAATAGGAGATTGCTTATTTTACTTGAGACCTTTTTGTTGTTGTTTTTGGTATATGAGAAAATTGCAAGGCAGTAACATATGTGGTTTCCTCTGCCTACAAGCCAGTAAGAGAGATAGAAGTTATGTGCAATTATGCAGCATATTCCTATGTATAGCGGGGCAGGGAAAAATCCACCCCAGTATGTACAGCCTAAACATCCTCTTATGTAACAAAGATTACAAAACCAGTAAGTACTATTCACAGATGAATATCTTATATAGACACATAACCTAGGGTATTAATTACACTGGCTTTCATGTACACACTGAGGGAAAGATACCAAGAGGTCTTGCTTTCTCTGCACACCTGGAGGCTCCCCTGGAAACTTCTCTTACTATTCTTGGGAAGTAGAAATAGCTTCTCACCCTTTTTTCAGTGGATGGACAGCCACCTCTGCCTTATGTCCCCTGTTTTGTTTTTGTTTTTCCTTTGAGCACTGCAAAAACATTTTTTCATGTCTTAGGTATCCTGCATCTTTAAGTCAACCAAACTGTCCCTTTAAGAAAATGGCAATGTCCCAAATTTTCTTTCAGAATACTGTGCGTGCACTGATGTTGCATTGATACCATCACCATGCTAATGAGTTCCTAATATTCCAGCTGTATGAATTCAGGCTAGTCCTTCATATAAAAATAATCTCACAAAACATTCCAGTGCTTTCTCAATAGAATAATAAATCTGCTAATGAACACATTCTGTAATGATTTTCATGGATGCCCTCCGTGGGAAGGGGCGGGGGGAGAGGAGGTGGGAAGCTGGATTGCCAATAGGAGAGGAGAGGGGAGAGAGACAAACCCAACTTTGGATTTCCTGTACTGAGGACAAGACTGGGGAGCTACAAACCTCCTAAATGAGACCTTCTGAGACACATGTCTGTGTAAAAACCAGATTTCCCTCCACACTGAGTAGCATTATGTTTCCTCTCCCGAGAGAAGCTGCCTATGACAGGGGCAGATATCTCTGAATGACGCTAACATTCCTAATCGAAGTCTCTTAATATTAAATATTTTCAAATGTTCAACTTAGAAAGCTTATTAAATAGCAAGATTTAATCATCAGCTGCTCTTGGTTTAAAGTTAGTAAAATACAAAAGTTATGCCTCTCCCCCAAAGAAATAATTCAAAACCAATCACAGGCAAGGCTGTTCTTGATTGCATGTAAAATTTTCTCTCCGTATTTATGTTAAGGAATCCTAATTTAAGCACACATTAAAATACCACTAAAGACTTCCAATGGGTTGGAATGTCAGAGAGAAGAATGGGAAAGACTTCTAGGTAGCAAACAGTAAACACTCTAGCCTTGGGTAACTTTTGCTCTCTTTAAAATCAATTAGTAAGTAATTCTTTGCTTTGCACCTAGAAGCTTTCAATGAATGCTACTTCTGAATAGGATGGATTGTGACCTTGACATATTTATTCATGCCGCACTCCAGGGAAGGTACCCTTTTAATGCTTAGAAGTTCTGGGTCCAATTTCCTAGGAATACTGGCTTTGACTAGAGAGAAGCTATTCCCTCATGGGACTTTCAGAGAATGCCTTTGCCAAACTGGCTCATAATTCCTAGTCTTGATCCTAAAAAGTGCGATGCATTTCAAGTTCTCAATCTCTCCTTCTTTCTGACCAACAGGAAAATGTAAAACAACACACATGAAAAGTATTTCCACAGGAACCGGTGTTCTGAGGGGCTAGGTTTCATGCTTTAGATGAAGTTCCATAACTGCCCCGTTGGCCTCAGTATTATTTGGGGCTGTGCAGCAAGGCCGGCCCCACTGGGAGAAGGCCCACATCAGGCAGCTTGCCCTCCCCATCAAAGCACAGCGCGTGCCCAGTCCACTTTTCCCTCCTTGTCACATAAGCGCCTTCATCCTTCGAGGTCCCTCATCTTCTAAGTAAGGGAAGCTGGGCCTTTCTTTTTCCCTTGCCATCTTGAAAGCTAGACTCCTGCATTGTTTCTACAACCTGCGTTCGAACCGTTTTTCCAGGAGACTGGTTAAAGTTAAGGTCCCCAGTGATGTCTTCCAATCAGCTTGGAATGTTTTAAAAAGTGTAATGTAAAGGTGCTTTGGTGTAAATGAGCAAATTTTTAACTCTGGATAACTCTGTAATTTGCTTCTTTAAATGGTAACTAGCCAAGATGGCTTTTGGGGCTCATCCAGCAGATACAATTCTTTTGCACCCAAGTTGTAAGCATTCTGTTCCTCATTCTTTTCTCCTCCACTTAGAAAATGCTCCTGAAGCATAACAGAGTGGATGGAAAATATAAGATGTGGACAAGACCCAGAAAACATGTAAAAAGTTACCTTAATTTCCAGAGGTTGAAAAGTAAGCAATTTATCCCTGTCTTTGTTCTTAATGCTTGATATTTGTTTCTTTACTTCCAACCTACTTGGAAAACAGTCATGCTATGTGGCTTGAAAATGCTAAGCAGATTCCAATATCCTATATACATGTGCAGTTATTTCCAAGAAAAAAACCACATTTGCAGATGTCCTCAAAAGGTAAGTGACAAGTGGGGCCCCACAACTAGGGACCAAGTTGTCAAGTCAGCCTGAGAACAGGGGTTTGCTTTAGCTAAAAATTTCCTTCCTGGTGGTTGCAAAATGTACACTGCTCTCAAAGAAAACACACATTGTTTTATGCCACTATGTGGCTTTCAAGTACAGACATTACTGAAGAAGTGTGAACACCAAATGTGTTGTCTTAATGTATTTAAGACATGGCTGGTGAAAGCATAAAAACCTTTACAGAGACGTTGCACTGCAGAGGGAAATCAAACAAAATCAAACACAAAAGACTGAAAAGAATACATGCCATGTATCAGTAAGCAAAGCTTAATCTTCACATAGTTCTTGGAAATCACAAGGTATCCAAATGCGTGCAAGGTTTTAAATAAATTGCAGAGAAAACAGGGTCTTGCCAGCTTCAGTTTTCTTGTAAGTGAAATCCACCACAGGGAGGGGAAGGAAACTGATCCGTCATTCCCTTCGTATTATTGGCCACTTCATTAATGTTTTTTTTTCTTCCCAGAATGATGACAACTTAATCCTGAAAGGAGGAAAAGAGAAAATTGCTATAGGTAAAAAAACAAAACAAAACAAAACAAAACAACACAAAAAAACCAAACCAAAACAAAAAAAAATCCCAAAACAAACAAAAAAAACCACAAACAACTTACATCATTCATTTTTTTTCTAAATTACACAAGACATCAAAATTGGTCAGGCCAAAAGTAAGTCTATCCGTTTTCTCAGCAGCCACCCTGCGCGCACTTATGGGAGGCAGAGGGGTCTCCTTCACCAAAACAGTTCTCAGAACATGATAAGCAAATGTTCTGACTCCATTTTCTCCCCTTAAAATAATTTAACTCCATGAATTTAAATGGTCTAACCTCTTCTTGGATTATTTAGAGGAAAAGAAAGTCAGCAAATTTCCTTCCCTGAATCATTAGTAGTAATACTGGTCTTAATTAAGTGCCTGTAGCATCATACAGACCATTAAAAGGACATATCCTCGTGTCACTTTTATGGGCATGAAATAGAAAAAGGGATCACATACATGCTTTAAAAAAAGCCCGGTTGTATATAATTCCTTGGTTGCCTATTATCAGACCTAGTTTCAGCAGGATGAAAACTGGCCAGCATGACCTGAATTGCCAGCCTTGTGTCCTGCACACAGCTGTGCATTTCCAGTTTAACCAGTGCCTGCTTAAACCTGGTAACTACTTCCATGTGAGCAGGTCAAGGAGAAAGAAGGAATTCCTCTCCACATTTCTGTTTGGTCCTTAAGCAGTTTCACTGAGTCCCTACGATGGGAAAGTAAGGTCTTGCCAGGAAGGCTGAAAAGAAACACTCCCAGGATCAAGTCACACAGCCTAGAGGCTCCAGCTCCACCGAGGCCCACAACCAACTCCTCATTTCCATTTAAAGCTCAAGGTCACTGAGGCCTGGTTAGGCCTGTTTGTTCCTGCCTACACTGCTATACTGTCATCTTCCCAAGCAGGGAAGGAAACTTGACCTTTTGTTGAGACACGGCTGTCCCACTGCTGGTCATGCAGGCTGTCGTGCCAAGAACTTCACTACTACCTTGACCAAGAAAGCAAAAAGTTCCAGCCTTACTGTTAAGAACAGCATCCTCCCTACTCTCAACTCATTTCCTCTGCTTAATAGGATGATTTTTTGGAAGGTTAACCTTCCATCCTTTCTTTTTCATTGAGGCGAAATTCACAGAACCTAAAATTAACCATTGTAAGGCATAAGGCATATAATTTAGTGGCATTTGGGATATTCACAATGTTATCCAAACTGTCTAGTTATCCCCTCCGTCTAGTTCCAAAACATCTTTGCCACCCCCAAAGGAGATCCTGTACCCTTGAAGCAGTCACTCCCATTCTCCTCTTGCTGCAGCCTCCTGGCAACTGCCAATCTGCTTTGCGTCTCTCTTTACCTATTCTGGATATTTCATACGAACAGAATCATACAATATGTGACCTGTTGTGTCTGACTTCTTTCATTTAGCATAATGTTCATCATGTTGTAGCATGTATCAGAACTTCATCCTTTGTTATGGCCAATGGATATACCATGTTTTGTTTATCCATTCATGAGTTGATGTATATCTGGATTGTTTTCACCTTTTTGCTATTATGAATAGTGCTGCTGTGAACATTCACGTGCAAGTATTTAAATACTTGTTTTCCAATTCTTTTGGGTAAATACCGAGGAGTGGAATTGCTGGGTCATATGGCAATTTTATGTTTAACTTTTGGAGAACTGGCAAACTGTTTTCCACAGTGGCTGCCCCATTTTATATTACCACCAGCGATACACAAAGGTTCCAATTTCTCCACAACACCCTTGCCAATATTTGTTATTTTCTGTTTTTGTTTTTTTTTTGGATTACAGACATCCTAGTGGGGTGAACTGGTATCTCATTGTGGTTTTGATTGGCATTTACCTAATGGTTAGTTAGGCTGAGCACCTTTTCATGTGCTTGTTGGCCATTTGTATATCTTCTTTGGAGAAATATGTATTCCAAGTCCTTTGCCTGCTTTTAAATTGGGTTGTTGGTCTTTTTGTTGTTGAGTTGTAGCACTTTTTATATATTTTGGGTATCAGTCCCTTGATTTGCAAATATTTACTCCCATTTTGTGGACTGTCTCTTCACTCTGTTGATAATGTTCTTTGATGCCCATTTTAATTAGGATAAAGCCCAATTTATCCATTTTTTCTTTTGTTGCTTATGGTTTTGGTGTCATATCTAAAAATCCATTGTCAAATTTAAGGTTATGAAGATTTACATTTTCTTCTAAGAGTTTTATAGTTTTAATCCTTACATTTAGATCTTCAAACCATTTTGAGTTAATTTTTGTATGTGGTATGAGAAAGAGGTAACATTCCATTCTTAAGAGTTCTCTGTCCTCAGTGACTGAGACAAAAAGCCCTTAAGTTTCTGGGAGAGGCCGGGGATGGAGGGAGAAGCCTCGGTGGAAGCTCTTTGTTATCACTAAGTCCAAACTCCTCAGATATTATCTCAAATACTTGCTGCCTGTGGCTCACTTGGCCAACCCTCACCCCTGCCAGGCTGCCCAGATCTCTTCTTAAACAAGTGACCACCCTAGCAAAAATAACTAAAGGAGACTAATTGCCTTCGCTCCCATTCTCCCAGGGAAATGAAGTAAATCCATCTTGTGCTTTACCTGTGGCTCCCATGTAATCATGCATTCTGGCTTCTGCACTGACATCTTTCCTGAGGCCCATGACATCAAAGACAGAGAGCACTTGTCCCTGCAACATTTCAAACACTCCTGTCCACATGCATCTTCAGCTAGCCCCCAAGCCTGCTACCAAACCTGACATTTTTATTAAGCAGATGAAAAAATGCTCTTTCTCTTCCATGTTGCTTAAACAGAGACTGAAGCTCTTCCAGGAAGCCTGCCCACCCTGGACAAATGGAAGAGCTGTGGGTTTGTCCTGATATGTGCTGACCTAGGCATGAGCTCCTACCGCCACACAGAAATGACATATAGTTGACCCTTGAACAACGCAGGGATTGGGGCACTGGCCCCTTGCACAGTTGAAAATCTGCATAGAACTTTTGACTCCCCCAAAATTTAACTACTAATTGCCTACTGTTTACTGGAAGATTTACTGGTAACATGAACAGCTGGTTAACACATATTTTATATATGTATCGTGTACTGTATTCCTACAATACAGTCAGCTAGAGCAAAGAAAACGTTATTAAGAAAATCATAAGGGAAAATACATTTACAGTACTGTTCTTTATTTATCAAAAAAATCAGCACGTAAGTATAGACTTGGGTCGTTCGAACCCGTGTTGTTCAAGGGCCAACTGTAGTCATGACCTGGCTCTCCTCCATTCTACCACTTTAACCCACAGAACGCAGACCTGCCCAGGCTGACCTCCTGAACGAGTGACTTCAAATGTCCCTCCCGTGTGGGGACATTTCCTGTGAGGGAGCAAGTAAGGAGGCAGGTGACATCATTATGTCCTTGATTAAACCTGGTTTTGTTGACTATTGTCATCCCTAGAGCATAGTCAAGCCCCTGCTCAGATACTCAGGAAACCCCTGCTGAATGAATAGAAAGGAAGAAGGTGGAATCTGAACATTTGGGAGCAGAGTATGTTTTTAGAACTAGGATTCCCTCATGGCACACTGACAGAGGGCAGTGCTGGGGGCAGAGCCGGCCATCCACAGACACCATGAGCCAAGAAAGGTGGGTAGAATTAACACCTTCCTGTGAGCCAAGCTTTTTTTTTTTTTTTTTTAACCTCATGACATTCTATTTGAATGATGTGATTTTCAGGGTACCTGATTTGATACAATAATAAACGATGTTGTCACCATAATCCGTGGCATGTCACTATCCTGTTGGGTTGATTTAAACTTTTTTTTTTTTTAAGCCATTGATGGTGTTTGCCTTCTTTTTTTTTTTAATAATTTTTTT